GCTGAGCCCATGTTCTTTTAATAAAATAAAATGGGCATAGGGATATGCATTAACTTTTCTCTGGCATCGGTAACAATCCGATGGAAAACTATGAAAATCCACCAGAGTTACTACATTAGCACATACTACACCATGATGTTTCTTTTACTAATCATCTTTCTCTGTTGCTAGAGATAGGAGTACCCGGCATGTATTCTATGTTGATACAGGGATGGATAAATGAGACAATGACATATTTTTATATTATTAGGTCCAAAGATATGCAGAAGTCATACAGGAGATAAGTCCAAGATTATTTTTCGGTATATTTACACCAATAATTTTCTTTAATGTTGCCTTTGACATGGATGTATACATACTCCAAAAGTTATGTTTTCAGGTAAGTAGTATTTTTAAGTAATAACAATTTACTCATGAAGTGCATGCTATCTCAACAGAAAACAATGAAGATCAAAAAAATAGGGGACATGGGAATAAAAAATTCAGCTTTATAGTTTAGTGAATAAACTATATCTTGGCAATTATGTAGCATGTTGATGACCCCCCAAAAAAATCCTGGAGGAAAAAAGTAATTCTGAAAATCTGACTGGCAGAACTTTACACCAATAATAATTTTAACTTTGAAAGGTTGTAAGAGATCTGTTATGAAGTACATTAGCTCTGGCAAAAGGAAATCATTGAGAAAAGTCATGTTTTAAATACCCACCTCCTAAAACTTTCTGTATTCATATATAAAAGAACAAAAGCAGAGAAGAAAACTCACAGAGCAGCCACACCCCTAGTACACAAACCACAGGGTATCCCACACTTTGCCGTACATAGGGAAAATGGGAAATTGTAGCTACATGTACTTTTATTTACAAAACCTTCATGGCAAAATTTTACAAAGAGGTGGTCAATATGTAGAGAATATTTTTTTAACTTTTTTCATGAATATTTTGTAAATAAGGCTCAGTGCCCATAGCATAGTAGTTACAGCGCCAGCCACATACAGTAAGGTTGGCAGATTTGAACCCGGCCTGAGTCAGCTAAAACAATAATGACAACTCCAAAAAAAAAAAAGTAGCTGGGCATTGTGGTGGGTGTCTGTAGTCCCAGCTACAGGGTGGGCTGAGGCAAAAGAATCACTTAACCCCAAGAGTTTGAGGTTGCTGTGAGTTGTGATGCCATGGCACTCTACCAAGGGTGACATAGTGAGACTCTGTCTCATATATATATATTTTGTAAATAAAAGATACACTTAGCTATAATTTCCCATTTTCCCTATGTATGGCAACTTTCAGGACAACCTGTATAATGACTTTTAAAATTGTGAGATTGGGACTATGTCAGAGAAAGACCTTGAGAAGAAATACTCCAAATGATAAGCACAGTGTATATTTCTTTTGAAATAATCAAAACAGTTTTGTAACTACAAGGCCATTATCTTAATTGAATTAGAAGCAAAGTCCTTAGAATAATTCACACTTAAACCAAAAAATCCAGACACATGGAATTCAGACAAATGACAAAAAAGATGAAATTGAAAAGAATAGAGATTCAAAAGTGGTTGGAGCTATTTCTGCCGAGCCATCTCCTGCATCTGTTTAAGTGGGTGTGCCAGCTGGAACAGGGCAAGCTAGCTGGCCCCACTGACAGAGGTGGTTCTACTCCTCCAATAATCCTAACTATTTGCTTTGTAAAATGGAATACAAATGCGACCTGATTTTTCTATTTGTAAATTTTCTTTGCAGATACTTTTACTTACAATTCCTGGATTTTTTATTAATTATATTTTAATTCTTTGGTATCTGGCATCCGTGAATAAATTACTTTTGAAGCCTGGTCCATGGTTATTATTTTCAGCTATCCTTGTGAGTTCAGATCCCATGCTTACTGCAGCTGCTATAAGAGACCTTGGTAAGTAGAGCAAATTTTGCAACTGATTTCTCTTACTTTTAAGATCTTTTGTTTTCACTATGTGAAGTGAAGTAGTGAGGGTTTGGGGGTTGAGGATCGAGCAGAGATTCTAGAGGCAATGCTTAAGATAGAAGGAAACACCAATGATGTGATTATTTAATATACAAAAAAAGCATTATAAACAGTTGTGAAATAGGGCAGATTAGTTAGAACCCTTTACCTCATACCTGCTTCTCCCTTGAGTCAACAAAACAGTTCTGGGGTATTACAACATTGTGTATGCATATGGTGACATTTCTACTGATCAATATTTCTTTTCCTTTGAAAGCAGTCATTAGGATAATGGCATTTAAAAAATATGTTCTCTTTAGAGTCATTATCATTATTGAGACTGAAAGCCTAAAATAAAACAATAAAATAATCAATTATTTAGTTATGTTCAGTGTATACTATTTTAAGAGAAATAAATCTATATTTTAAAGTAAAATGCTCAATAAATTTAACTTAAAAAATGAAGCAGAAACACAAGAGCCTCAAACAACAACATAAAAAAACAACCTAATATTTCCCCTTGGTCACTTTTTAGTAATGAGAACTAGAAAAATTGCTTTAAAAAAGAGTAGAAGGATATTCTTAGCTATAGATTTATATCACATAATTTTCCCTAACTACTTAAACTTTAGTCATGTTTTAAAACTCCCTTTAAAGAAATTTAATTGTATATAAACTGTAAGTTAAATCTAGATCAGCATAATTAGGTTCCAAATTAATTGTGGCCTATTTATGTTTATGTAAGTGAGATAATTATTAATAACTAGAGCTCTCAGTCCTTGTTTCAAAGCATAGATGAAAACATGAAATTAATTATTTTTTAAACATCAGCAATTTGGCCTATATAAATATATGCATCATAAATTAGATGTTTTTGAGGCAAGACAGAAAACTATGATCAGAGGATACAGCAAATTCATAGACCAAGGTTTTATAACATGACATCTAAATAGAGTATTAGATAATGTTCAGATAATCTAGCAAGAGTTAGAAACTACCTGGCTTTCCCATACAATATGTTCCTTTCAATGGCTTTAGAAATCATGAATGGACAGCACTCTGATATTACCTACTTCCATCTTCATTTGTCTCTATGATAATGTTCTAAGTTTGCACAGTAATTAGTTGTCCTTTTCTTCTGCCATAAAATGTGCCAGTAGTAGCGAAATTATTACTTTGAGAATCTCTGAGGGATTTTCTAAAGCCATATGAGAGAGAGAAATGTTATTTTATAATAAATGTCCTTTTTGTGAGCCCACCACTCTACATATAATCATGCATACCCCCCATATTCACTTCAATTTTATTTTCACTTTATGGAGAAAGAACTATCTGATGGAAGTAGAAATAAAGTAGGGGAGATACATCCAATCTAAATACAGGGATAGAAGAAAGCTAGGCCTTTGAGACAAGGAGATTAAGAGGTGAGACTGTAGAGGAAGGAATTGCCAGCATCCCTCACCCTAGCCTGGGTTCTTGTCTTCCTTCTGACACTCTCATCTCACATCCTCCTTCTTTATGGCTTTGTCAATGCCAAGGCTTTTTTTTTTTTTTTTTGAGACAGATCTCTCACTATGTCACCCTCAATAGAGAGCCATAGCGTCATAGCTCACAGCAACTTCAAACTCTTTGGGCTTAAGCAATTCTCTTGCCTCAACCTCCCAAGTAGCTGGGACTACAGGTGCCCACCACAACACCCGGCTATTTTTTTGTTGTAGTTGTCATTGATGTTTGGTGGGCCAGGCCAGGTTTGAACCCGCCACCCTCTGTGCATGTGGTCAGCGCCTTAACCACTGTGCTACAGGCACCACCTAGTGCCAACACTTTTCTCCTAAAAAGATTTGAAGGACTCCTATGACACCTGGGAGCTACTTTCATGCATCTCTTAACTTCATAATCTTGTAATCCAGTTTTCCACTGATTTTCTTGCCCACATTGTTGAACTTAAATAATCTATTTGGAATATCTTGCAAGATTATTCTCATAAATGGCATCTTGCCATTACTTTTGAAATTTTGTTTTTCTTTTCACTTTGCATCTTTCAAAAACTTTTTTTTTCTTTTTTTTTTCTTGTCTGGGATTCATCAAGGGTACAAAGAATTAGGTTATACTGATTGCATTGATTAGGTAAAATCCCTCTTTCAAAAACTTTTAAAAATATTCTCTTTTGGCAGCATTTTTGTTGAATTTCCAAAAGAAGATTTAAAAAATTTATAAATATGTGATATAAATACGCCCAGGTCTATCACTGGAATACATGAGTACAGTCACATTGCTTTGAGCTTTTTTTATTCTTTTTACTCCCTTATTCCCCTGTATCTGTTATTTATTTCTGAATATTCACACTTCACTATAGTTCTATCTTCTAAAATGGAATAATTATACAACAATATCAGTGAAGTTTTTCTGAACAATTCTAAATATAATGACTTAAAATAATAGTTATTTACTATTTCTCATGAATCTGCAGTTCTGATGATATCAACGGGATTCTGCTGACCTTGAATAGAGTCCCTAATGAATCTGTAGTTACCTGGCAGATCATCTGGAGGCTAAGTGACCCAGGATGGCCTCCACTGGGAAGATCCACCTTTCCTTCGTGTGTCATTCATATTCCTCCAGTGGGGTGTCCAGGGAGTGCTGCCATGATGGTGGTAGGGGATCAAGAGAGAGGAGGCAGAGCTCTTTGTTGTCTCATCCAGTCTTTTTTTTTTT